CACACACACACACACACACACACACACACACACACACACACACACATCATGTACATACAATCATTAGATTTAAATTTTAAATAAATCTATTGTCACATTTTTTTATATTAAAACGTAATTATAATTATTATCGTAATATTAACCTTCAATAATTTGATTTTTTTTATTACAAAGAGTTTCTTATGTTCCGTTACTTAAATCTGTTGGCCATTTTTTTACCTTATAAAGAGTAAAATGTATGTCCTTCTATCATGTTTTATATTTTTTTTATTATATTGATTAAGCAGACAATATATCTTTAAATATTTATAATATTAAAGTACGATAGTTCTATAAACATTTTTAATATGATATTTATTAATTATTATTACATCACGATCACTTTGCCACATCTATGCAGTGTGAGCTATTAATAGATATCTCGTCTATGAGTCAATATTTTCTTATGACATTTATAATGTGTTATTAAAATAACCTACGTACTCCCAGTATTCGTTTTTTAACAACAGATGAAAGATATTATGAAATAAGGTATGACGCAGTTGAAAAATATGGATACCTTTAACAGCTAGGAATACGATAATTATTGATGTTAAAAATTTTACTGTGAAAATATGTATTTGCGCGAGTCTTTTGAGAGAGTTTACACTGTAATGGTAGCAGAACCAGTTGTTATTTGCAATTTACATCGTTTGTTCAGACTACTGTATCAAGGCTATTTTACACTTATTCTAATAATTGCTTTTCTGATAATTCTGATAATAGAAAACATTTCTCAATGTACTCGTACATATTCGTTCAATTTCATGTAAACCTACACATTTATTATTCTTTTTTTGAACGATGAAAGGAGTTGTCAACAAGCTACTTTGAGTTCTCATTAAAGAGTCTATTCAAAACATTAATGTCGGAGGTCATAAAACTACGGAATAATTGTGAATTGTAAATTTCGACAATTTCTTTGAATAATCTACATACACCACGCATTTACTTTACGAGTCGCAAGGCTTGAAACTATTAGTAGTATAGCAAAAACAAATCAAGGATTAAGCTATTTCTGGTCGCCCAGTATCCAAGAATTACACGTTAAAATAGCGACGATTGCAGATCTGTGATGTTGTAATTTATATAGAACGCTTTCCAGACTTGTGATTTGTAACGATATGTGTGTGTATGTGCTTTGTGCGTAATCTTTTTTTACATTTTTTCATTTCTGCGAAATGTAAAAAAAGATTACGCTCTCTCAGAGAGAATTATTATTTCAGAAAGATTACTATCTCTCAGAGAGAAAATTGAAAAAGAAAGAGAGAAACATTTCACAAAATAATAATATAAAAATGGATTGATTCTCTGACATGTTATATGTATTTAATGTTCTTTATTATTAATAAATTGCATTTTGCAAAGCAATATGTTGCATTTTGTCATAAATGTTTTAAGACAATTATTGTTGATATGAAGACAATTTTGCTTACTTAAATTTATGTGATAGGATATTATAGGAGCAAGCTTTCCTCGATTCTTGAGGGCTTTGGGCGTTTTTCTGCTTTTAGAAGAAGTTCGGTTTCCTACTTTTGTTTCTATTTCTTTTCTTGCACTGTGGTTTTTTCCAATTTGTTTCTATGGGTGGTGCAATGTACCCTGCAGGCAAGGATGGCAGCAAGGTAACGACTGTAGTAGCGACTCCTGGTGCTGGTCCGGATCGTCCTCAGGAGGTCGCGTACACCGATACCAAGGTCATAGGCAATGGCAGCTTTGGGGTGGTATACCAGGCGAAACTCTGCGATTCGGGAGAGATGGTTGCTATCAAGAAGGTTCTCCAAGATAAACGATTTAAGGTGAGCATTTTTACGTTGTGTCCTGACATAAATAACGAACTATAAATAATAAAATAAAAATATATATAGAACATAGTAACAGTTACTAGAGAAATTTTGATTGGAGCTTTTTGTGCATAATAATACGTTAGAATAAATTTGTATATAGGGGAGACTGGATCTCGTTGGCACAGTTTTCACATTTTGGCATTAGATAGTAACCAATAAGTTAATAATTGCTAAATAATGTGTTGAGAGAGAGAGAGAGAGAGAGAGAGAGAGAGAGAGAGAGAGAGAGAGAGAGAGAGAGAAGCAACTTACTATTACATAATTACACTACGTTCTTGTTTTCATTGTGTTTTATTTAATTTGATTTGATTATATTCTATTCTATCTTTTTATTATATATTTATGATTTTACTAGGTGTTTTATCTTATTTTACTTTTTATTTTAATTTGTCTTATTTTTAACAATATTTGTTTATTTCATTTATTTAATGAACAATGAGTATATTAACGAGTTATCATAATAAAACTTTTTTTTTTTTTCAGAACAGGGAATTACAAATTATGCGACGCCTCGAACATTGCAACATTGTGAAACTCAAATATTTCTTTTATTCTAGTGGTGATAAGGTAACTATCTCATCTCTATCTTCCTTAAATCTTAAGTGAAGATGAGTTCGCTATCTATTATTTAAGAGAAATTTCGATAATTATATCAATCTATTATAATTTGAAAAAAAATTTGCGAAAAAATGATACGTACTACTCAATTTTAATCGCGGTACAGCTCCCATTGATTAGCACACAATTATCAATTTTATCATTATCCGTTTGTTACGTAAATGACACGTGTCTATAAATAAAACGAAAGATGTTCATTTAATGCATGCCACATTGTTATGTTATTTTATAGAACATCTTAACCGCGACTAATCCGGTTTTTCACGTTGACGTAAGTTGAAGTGCACCCAGTAGTAGTTTGTACGAGAATCTTCCTTTTGGCGAAAAAAAAATCTTTAGGCGAATTATCGCTTCCACATAGGAACATCTTCACAATCGTATCATTCCTTCGAAACGTCATTGTTTTAATGTCGATCTGGGTCCGATTAGATTACGCTGCTTCGCTAGTCTTGTTAGTACGTAATATTTCTGAAGGCGTGTGTGGTAAATGTTAATAACACGAGGGCATCGATGTGTGTGTCCAAGAGAAATAATAAAGAAACGTATAACTTAAATGATCCCACGGGGTATCCCACAATTCGCTACAATTATTTTATAATTTTAATCACAGATTCTGATGGAACTTTAATTGATGTAATTTTATTATAAATTCCCTAATAACATGATAAGGGTCCTAATAACATGAAAAGAAGAAAGTTTTCGTGTGTATGAGAATGAATAAATAAATAAAATAATTATACTTCTACATATATAAAAATAACATAATTTTAGTCTAGTAATTTTTAATTCTTCATTGGCAAATCTATTTATACAAAAATAAACGTGTAATGTTGAAAATTAGAAGATAAAAAACTAAAAAATAATAGATGATCAAAGATTGTGAAAATAGTTCAAAATTATTAAAAAATTGCTGTTAAATTGATTAGAGAGAATTTATTATTAAAGTTCCAGTTGCGCGTGAATTGCAGGAAACTCTACATTCGAATGCGTCGTCAATGTTTGGTTTTGGAGTAGTGTGCCTTTGAGACGACAAATATAAACAGATCCTTGCTTGTTGAATGAAGGTTACATGCAATAGAATTTTCTTATATTTCTTCTTTTTTTTTAGAAGGACGAGGTTTATCTTAATCTAGTCCTGGAATACATACCCGAAACTGTGTACAAAGTCGCTCGACATTATAGCAAAAGCAAGCAGACGATACCAATCAGTTTCATCAAGGTGAGTTATTTTTTATTTTTCAGTTTTATAATTTTTAGTTATTATTTCTAAATTTGTAATATAACATAAAAACAGAAATTATGTTTGTAAACCTATTTAATACTGTTTCTTCAATTAATTTTTAGAAGATGGATCTTATAGATGTTATAGTATGTAGTTTTGATCGATAAAAAGGAAACATTCTTTTAATTCATGCAATAATCAGTATGTAAGAATTTTTGAGATCACGAATTATGAATCTGAGGTTTAAATTTACAAGATTTGTAGGTATCAAAAATCCATCATTTTAATTTTGTTATTATTCTGATCTCAGATTTGTAATCAATGATCTCAAAAACTTAGAAATAACTATACACGAGAGAATTTGAAAAAACTTTTATAAAGATTTTTATATAATAAAAAAATGTGTTTTGTAAATTTAATAAGATATATAGATAAAATAAATATATTAGTATAGAAGATAATATTTTCTTTGTTCTTTGCAGTTGTATATGTATCAACTGTTCCGTTCGTTGGCATACATCCACTCGCTGGGTATTTGTCACAGGGATATCAAACCACAGAATTTGCTGCTAGATCCGGATACTGGTGTCTTGAAGCTATGCGATTTTGGTTCAGCTAAACACCTTGTGAAGGGCGAGCCAAATGTGTCCTATATCTGCAGTCGCTACTATCGCGCACCTGAACTCATCTTTGGTGCTATTGACTACACTACAAAAATTGGTATGCTAAAAATCTTAATGATGATCTTTGTTTAAGATTGCATATTTATGTCTGTTTCCACCAATGTAAATTAATTTTAATTTCGGTTCAATTTACTTTTTATCTTTTTCTAATAGAACCAGAAAATTCTTAATTAATCTACATTGGTGGAAACAAGTATAAATTTGAAAAGAGTTTATCACTGACCGTGCTATTTATTTCTTCTTGATCTCTAATATAGAATTTGGATATGTTTATAAAAATTATCCAATCCTGATATCTAAATTTTGATATTAAAAAAAACGATTGAAATTAATAGCAAGATTTAATAAAAATACATTAATTCGTTTTCACGCTTCTTTTATTATATTTTATTTTGTTTTAAAATATGTAACGTTTCTCTTAATGTAACATTTTTCTCATTTCCTTGACAGATGTTTGGAGTGCAGGTTGTGTGCTAGCAGAACTGTTGCTAGGTCAACCAATATTTCCCGGCGATAGCGGTGTCGATCAACTGGTAGAGATTATCAAAGTCCTCGGTACGCCTACGCGCGATCAGATACGTGAGATGAACCCCAACTACACCGAATTCAAATTTCCACAAATTAAATCACATCCCTGGCAAAAGGTAGAGTCTACTATTTTGTAACTAATATAATACTTTACACAAATTATTATTAATATATATTTATACCTGTACATCTAGCAGGATATTTCATGTATTTCTTCATCATATAATTGTTTCGTTTTGTTTCATACATATGTCTATTAACTTTGTGATTCGTTATAATTATTGAAAAACCCATTTTCATTTTAAATCCATAATTTTTATAAAACAAATAATATAAAATATCTCTGTCTTTGAAATATATAAAGTATTTTCGAACAGCAATGTAAAAAAATATAGATTTTTCAGATAGGATAATAACAAAATAAAAAATAAGCTTTTCTCAGTTAACTTTTGAAATTAAAGAAGAAGGTAGAGTCGAATTTGATGTAACGTTTCATGAGGTTTTAACATACATTTTTGTAGGAAGAGATTATTTTTTCGTATTTAAAATAGGATCGATGGCAATAACAATAACGCCTCGATCGGTTGCCATTCATCAATACATGTCTCGTGATTTGCAGTATATGCTTCAACGAATGAGTGAAACATCTATGTGTTCCATGGAGCACCAGAAGATTAGAGTAAGTGATTCGACTTGCAACAAGTGTTGTTCAATATGGCTGGCACAAACTTTCTCTATCTTGTCCCGTTGTACTAACATTCAAAATAACACCTTAACTTCCATTTCGATATCCAGACGAGCGTGCAGATTTATTCCCAATCTTATTTAATCATTACTTTAAAGAAAAAGAAAATAAAGAAAATAAAAGTCTTCAAGATTTCCTTTACAATCAGTTATCTTCTTCATGTAACTCCTCATTGCCTAGTCTCATCTGTAACGACACTAATAATTTTTTATATTCGACTTCTTACATTTTACATTTGTTATGGCGACTGAAAATAATCGAGAGTATCACTTACTCTGATATTCTGGTGGTATTTGAGACTTGCATTTGTCAAACTTGAAAGAATGAGTAACATATTGTGGTCTTTCGTGTCTATTGCGCAGAGACTTAGTGCTTGAAGTCTGTGTTCATCTTAAATGTACATATTCGTATTTGATTCATTATTGTATTGATATATGTGTGTATACACACATACACACATACGCACACACAAACATATATAGGTATACAAAAAACAAAATATAATATATAAGGAGTTGCATATGTATAAGCACATGTGTAGATTTCCAGACTATATACATTTTTCTCTGTTTTTATTGGATATCTGTCCTCTTGTGGAGATATATCGTTCTAAATTATACAAATTACTGAATGAATACTACTGGATGAAAACTAAATATGTTTTATAATGGAAAATTTTTTAACATGGATCGATAAACTTTAGTGATAATATTAATGACAAATATCAACGTTATTTTTATTCATTGCCGATACAAAGCATCATTATCTTATTTTCAGTTCTCAGCAGGTATCATCCAAGTTTCTTAACCCTAGGACTACACATGACATATATTTTTGTATATGTATTATCGGATTTATTAGCTTTATAGCGTTTTTCATTGACAGAACTAGGGCGCACTCAGTGCACTTTAAAGCCGTTGTACACAAATCGACATAAAGATGTACGTTTAATAAAAATGTAGAAACGAATTAAACCGCGAAATATTCAATATATTTTATTGTGACTATTTGATAAAGTACACATTGGGCATTTTATCAATTGAGATATCTCACTTTTACATTTAGATTAGAATAGTTTACAACAGCTTTAATATGCACTGAGTGCGCCCTAGTTCTGCCAATGAAAAACGTTATTAATCATTTATTTTTTGATGCAACTCTGATACAAATATATTTTTCAATAAATTTGTTTACAATAAAATACCAGATATCATGAAATAAGATTATAAAATTAAATTTCAAGTTTGTTAACTAGATTGTTAAATGCAAATATTTAAACGAGGAAAAATTTCCAAAAATATTAGTAAATTGAAATTTTTGCCGGTTCAAATGCCAGATATAGTCCTAGGGTTGGACGCCATAAAATGAAATGTAAGAACTGAAATTTTGTATACATATACAAAGTGACATAACTAAAATCATCTCATTATGAATCTTTCAATAACATATTATTTTTCATGTCTATCATGCAGAGAGTAGTGCTTAGAATCAATGTCTAATTTTCTTAAAAGGGATTTTGTAGATTTTATAGTGTAAAAAAAATTACAATATCTACAAAATTTATGATATATCTACTGAGATTAAAACTGAAAATTAAAACTGACAATTTACATGTCATTAACTTCTTACTATTAGTTCGTGCAATCTTCAACAATTCCACAAGGCGCGTGCGATACATGTTAAATGTTTTGAAAACAAAATTATTAAAATGAAAATAAAAGATTTGATCCGTATTCTTATTGCTCTTCTTCTAGTCCAGCTGGCTAATCAGCGCTAAAGAAATAAATAAATTTTATAGTAGCTTAACTGAAGTTAGTTTCATTCTTACATATTTATAATATTCTTATCTTAGAAATATATATATATATATATAAAACACAGTATAATATGCATTATGGAAGAAATATCTAATTTTGTATATCTCGTCCTTCAACGTTGTCGTTAGTCGTTGCATAAGAATGCATAATCTATTTACGTAAGTCTACAGTAATACCGCACACACAATTGATCACTGCTGATAAATTTTCTTATTTTACTTACTTATCATTTTACTTATTAAGACATGTACTTTTTACTATTTTTCTATCTTTTGCACTTTAAGAGATCGAAGAAATATTAGAAGTATTATTGATATGTAATGTCTCATAGAAACTCGATATATGTATCGATTTTATCAATTAAATTAATCATATAACGCCACTAGAATTAATTAAACTTGCAAAGTCTCTTACATTTATTAAGTACCATTATAAATAAGTATGCTACAAATGAAAGTCAGGATTTTTACTCTAAGTCAGTTCTTTAAATGAAGACTGACATCTCTATCTCCAAAAATCCCAACGAATATGTACAATCAAAATACAGTAATTCCTCATATTATCCAAGGAATATCGGTACATTTAGCAATGAAAGAGAAAAAGTTGAAAATATAGCTTTTTATCATGAGTTTGATGATAATTGCAGGTGTTCAGGGCGCGCACGCCGCCGGAAGCGATGGACCTAGTGGCACGGCTCCTAGAGTATACACCGTCGTTGCGCATGACACCGTTGCAAGCGTGTGCGCATTCATTCTTCAATGAATTACGTGAACAAGGCACGCGGTTGCCAAGCGGCCGTGAATTACCGCCGCTTTTCAATTTCACCGAGCATGAGCTGCGAATTCAGCCGATCCTCAACAGCATGCTGATACCCAAGTACATGCAATCGGCCGCCGCCACCACCGGTACAGAGGGGAATCCCGGCGGGGGCGGCGGAGGGGGAGGCGGAGGTGGCCAGTCGGACGCCACGGGCGCCGCTGCCAGTGCTAGCGGTAATTCTAGTGATAATAGCGCCAACAATCCCAACACCACCACTAACACCACCGCTATCAACACGCAAAACACTGACCCCAGCCAATCGAACATGGCTTGAACCGCTTTATTCTATCTTCTATTTTTCTTTTTCCTTCTTAACGTTATTAAAGAGTTGGGTTATGACGTTGTTACGATGGCATGACGAAGTAACCATCTTCTGACGAGGATGTCCACGTTGTAAATGCGATATATCGCATTGCGGAGTAAATAAATATAAGGTTTTCACCTTCTTTCTAGCGAGAAGTAATGTAGTACTGCGACGCGATTCAGTGGAATTAAGGCTCTTAGTTCATCCATAGATACATTGGGCCAGGGGATCCTAACTCTCTTTATCTTGACAAAGACGAAAGTTTGATGAATTCGTAATTTTTAGAGGACAGAGCGCCGTCAATTTATTTCCTAACTACTTACTGACCTTTTTGTTGCCAATAGTGACTGGTTGACCAACTTCTGTAAATTAGATAGTTAAATTTCTTCTATTTAAAAATTTATTCATTTTACATTCTATTCTTTATTCATTTAAAGATAAAATCGCTATACGGAACAGATATATAAATAGACGAATTCCGAAGTAGAATATTGTCTAGTTTGCAAAACTATAATAACATTTCAGACATTCATAAAGATGTTCCTGGAAAACTATAAAGCAATTATTAGCAACAAGACAAATAGGAATAAATTATATTCATTTTATAATTGCATGAAATATATAGGAATAGAAGTATATATATATATGTATATAATAGATACGTGTATAGCTTTTACATAAATGTAACAAGTATAATTGCGCATTCTGTTTAAGTACTGTATACACAATTTATAATGAGAAAGGAAGCCTTGTAAGGTATCTTCTTTATCTAAAATAAAAGAAGAGATGGATGTCGTGAGATTGCGTTTAAACTGACATAAAGTCAACGAAGACATCGAAAAATATTACTTTCTTTTTCTAACATTATGGCTAGATACAGAATGCACAATTTTTATTTATTACATCCGTAGATTCCAATACAACGTCACATCCCGTTTCTCGTTAAATGAACCATTTCAGTTCGCTGTTTTCGAAGGGTGGAGTCAGGCGGCGTTAAAATTCATTTCCTCTTTCTAAAGGGAGTTTGGAGCCTTCGTACAGGTGTATAGTATCAAAAGATTTTACACGTTAAAATAGATTATGTTTTTCATATGTTACAATATGTATTTGATAGAATAGATTTACGAAACATGCCGAAAATTCTCAAGAAATACCTGTGAAACTAGACCTCTGTCACAAAATTTATATATGGGATATGTATAAATTATATAATATTAATTTATCTAGAGGAGAAAGTTCGGAACTGTTTGCAAATTTATTCTGTCAACTGCGAATTGTCACATGCGAAAAGCTAATTCAATGTGCATGCGAGAAAAGAAATTTATGCTATTCTTTATTTCTGACATAAACCGATATTGTTACTAAGAGTCTTAATTCCGCTTCGTTGTTTTCGAATCGAATTTAATGTATGTACATAACGTGTAAGAACTTGTTTCTCTTTAACTTTAAATACCGCTGAATGCGTTTACTCTAACTAAAGGTAAACTAAGAAGATGTATATCTAATGCGTCTATAGTAATGTCGTTTGTGTCGCCATCATTTTATATTTTAAGACACTGCGGAATCGAAGCTCGACGAAAATATCGACTTGAAGTGATTGTGAATGCTAGTTGAAGGATGCTATGTTGTTTTTTGTAGACTAGAACGACGCAATTTGACAGCGAATGCTTAATTATATCCTATGTATATATATAAAAAAATAAATTTTTTTAACGCAATGACTGCTATATTATATATGATATGTATCATTTATATGCGAATGACACTCTTGTTTTCATTATTCAAATACGACAAATTTTCATAAGAAGCTCCGCTGTGCAATGATATTCTATGACAAAGAAAGTGAGATAAAGAAAACATTTTTTGGTTTCCTAGAACTTGTTTATGAAATTGAATGTCATTTATATATAAATGACATGGCAGTCAATGTGTTAACTGGTAACGGTTAAATACACGATCCTAATTGAGTTAAAATACAGTCGAATGCCTGTGAACTCGTCAAGATTAAAAGAAAAACATTTTATGTATTTTTCCTTCAGTTGGATTTTTCAAAAGTATACAGAATGTCTGATAATTAATGTGCCATCTTTCGTAAGCAAATAGAAGGAATTAAACTGAATAAAAGTCTTACCATTTTGCAAGTAACTTCTCAATAATTAATGAGAAACTAATAAAGAGATTTGCGAATTCGTGCGTGACAAAAGATATGGCAGCGTTATGTATTATTTGTTGTTGGTAGACGCGCGCTTCTTCAAATACCTCGTTGTACCCACAATTATCGCATGACGTTGTCTTCGAATATTTTCTTGCCGAATCGCAAATTTGCGAATCTTTAGTAATTAATTTTTGTTTTCTTTAGTTATTAATTATTGAGAACCTTGTAAAAGGATGTTTGTACTCATTGTAGAGATGACTTTATCTGTCCATGAGAGGTACCACGATAATTACCAGACACTCTGTATATATTTAATGAAAACGTATGCTCTTTCTTACCTGCTTTTTCATTGTAATGATTACATAACAAAATATGAATAGTGAGAAAGTTATGCGGAAAAAAATTATCTTTAAAGAATATTTAGTTGATGGTTCAGTGTACCAGAGTTGATTATACAGATATTCGACTGTAATCGTATTTAATTATGTCTAGGCGATTCTAGACTAGAGTCCGATATCTGCAACATTAACTTGAAAAAATACAGATGTTTGTTGAAAGAAGATCATCATACTGTTAAAGTAATTCGGCAATAAGAACAAATTTTATTGCTGAATTGACTTAAATGTACATACTAAATGTACATATATACTGGTTCCTCTTTAATCAACAATTTCTAAGCACGATTCGAGTTGAAGACAAACTAAAATAATGTGTAATCAAATGTCTAGTAATTTATTAATACATTGCAAAATCGATTGAGAAAAACATCGATGACGATTGTAAAAAGATCATCGTGCTATCGACAAAACTTAGGAGATATATATATATATATATATATACATATCTCATTCTTTCTCTAACAACTAATAATTGCTAAACGTGACACTAGTTGAAGGAAAATTCAAAATAATTGCGTAATTTAGCATCTAATATCATTTTAACGATAGAATGAGAAGGAAGAACAGAAATCGGTATAATTAAACACTTAAATGATTATTTATATTCGTGAATACATGAAGTGATAATTTAAAAAAAATTTTTTCTTACGGAAAATTGTACTCGTCGAAATTATACCGGTTTCAAATTATATATGACGTTATTGCAAAGTTTGGCTTGGGAGAAGGAAAGTAAAAATTGGAAATCGACTATAACATTCTCGATTCATAACGTGAGTTTCATTAAGCCAGACTGTATTTCTTCAAGATTTCAGTCAAACCGTAGACATCGCATAGTACAGAACAATATAATAATGAATATGGTTATCGAGCGATATTATCAATAATAATTAATGTTCACATTTCATCTCGACTGATATCATCTTGTAGGCAAATGATCATGGAAGGGATACTCTATATTTTGTGTTCAGATTTTTAACGGATTTCTTCCGTTAATAACTACTATTGAGAGAGATATTTGAAATATGTTTTAATATATGTACAAAAATGTCTCAGATAGAAAAAACGATCGACTTGCCGCAGACTAAACGCGCTGTCGTAGTTCAAGAGAATGCTAGCTAACAAATTCGTGTTTCTCTTGCCGGAGCATTTAGTGAAAAGACAGATATTAATTAATGCCTATATCGGCCATGCCTCGGCTCTTAAAATTGTTATCCCTAAATACTGTCGCTATACTATGATTTTTCTCGGTTTTTCGGCTTTTCAAATTTTTTTCTCTTTTTTTTAATCTAACTGACGAACTTCTGATCGACTCAATGGAGCGATTTGTAATATTTTTAAGCCGATGACACATCATACATGGTGAATGGACTTTTTGACATGTTAATAAAAATCCTTCGATAATAAAAAAAGCTTTTTGTGCGTTATACATGTCCCAGGAATCAGTTACGCGGGAAAAAGAAAATTCAAGTTTTTCTTACGAAGGGACGGGTGATAAGAACGAACACTCTCTTAGATTAAGAAGATTCTCATATTGCAAGAATTGTGGAAAGGTTTGTAGTACGTATTATATATATATATATATATATACATACATATATATATATAATTTCCATTTTCTAAAAATATAGTTTTAAAAAATAAGAGAAATTGATGTATATATAAAATAATAAAGATAAATGATCTTTATACATAATTTAGAAGGTATATTTATTGTTGAGTTACTATTGCCGATAATTTTTCAATATTTATTAACTGTTACAAGATTTAAAAATCAAATTATTTATTAACAGTTTTTAACAAAATGTATAATTTCTGCAAACTGTGCAGAAAAATAATATAAATAACATGATTCTTTGAATCTAAAAATTGAAAAATAAATTGATATTCGTCGCAGCTGTGTTCCGGGACAGTCTAATTATTTTATTTTAACATGTACATTATATCATTGCGTTACAAAAGATAATATTCGAGTTCGGTTCTTCTTCCAGGAAAAGGTAAACGAAATGAGGTAAAAAAAGATTGAAGGAAAGATGAATGATATATAAGAATTAGATGTTAATGTTCAAAGGTTAGAGTTTTATCGATGTTGTATATATTAAAATTAAATTTTTTAGTCATTAATTCTTTCGTCTTTTTTTCTTTTTTATTAATACTTCATCCTTTGGTTTTAAACGATGTCATCGTCAACTCTTTAAATTTATTACGAAAAGAATTCGTTCTTCGGAACGTGTTTAACGGTTTTGAAAAAAGAGAAACGGTTTTTGTATAAAAAGTTACAAACAAGATAGAAAAGTAAAATTCACATTTTCAACATGTACAAATTCGAATTACATTGTTTTGTGCAATTAGAAACAAATAACATTATAAAAGTTGAGATTTTAAAAATTAAAATATTGCGCGAAATATATAAATACATTCTAAAAATAAATTAAAGATACCAATTTAGAGATATCAAAAGCAATTTAAAAAATATTAAATCATTTTCTAATTATAGTTGTATATTTTGAAATAATAATTTTCTAATATTTTGAATGATGCATTTATACATCCTTCCTAAAAGAGATGGCTGGCTCGATGTAAAGGCTCGAATTCTTCATATTATTATATTGATACATAGCATGAAATATTTCTTATGAAAAAGATATTTAAATAATTGAAATTTAAATTGGACACAATTACATCGGTATCTATCTCAAAGTCTCTTCGTTTTAGTTGCATCTTTCGTAAATCGTTTTTTGTACTTCTTTTCAAAAACTAGATATATATAATATCTGTTTTATTTCTAAACAAAGTACATGACAGAATGCAATTGATACAAATAGACTCTCCATTTCTGTCGAATGAGTTTTAAAACTACCGAGAGAAATACTGAAGAAGCAATTAATCAGAAATTTAAGTGTAAAAGAAATCTTAATAAAAGTATCGAATATTCGTTTCTTGGACATAGATAATTGTTAATCATTTATCATTATTATTATTATTAATAAACAAAT